CCCCAAAACCCCAAAACCCCAAAACCCCGTAACAAACAGTAAAGATTGAGAATAAATATTGGGTAGAATCCTTAATAGGAATCAGGATTGAGTATTCTTCCAACATTTACCACTGCGACTGGGTGATACATACCCTTGTGCTTGTTAAAGAACTCAACAGCTAGGTCATGGTCATAACCGTTCAATGCTCTATAAATTATTAATCAAGGTTACCTGTAGAGAGGAAGGAGATACTTTTGTCTTCCATATTGCCCAAGGAACTCATCCACAGATGGAATGACCTTGTCATACCCTGCCATAATTCAAAGTTGGAACCACAAATATTTCTGCTCTGGATCGATAGTGTTAGTCAGTTGATAGTCTATGTCTATCTGCTCAAGGATTGGGATAGTGGCATCTTCAGCTCTGTCGATCAATCTTTGTAAGAAAATACATTTGAGCAAAGAGAAATAATCAAAGAATACATCGTGGTTCTCAGGAGTTCCCTTTCCTAGTAAGTAATCATCAGCAAGTTTTCTACTAATCTCCAAATTGGAAGTTGTGAAATTAAGCTGAACTGGTGGAGGCCCAGTTCCGAATATCCATGTGTGGAAGTCAATTTTTGATAGAATGTTCTTTCTTTCTTGATCACTGAAGTAGGATTCTATAAACTCAAGGAAAGTATCAATAAAGTCAGTATAAGTGATGCTGGTCATTCTATATTTGTCCAAGTAGATTATCAAGAACATTTCAAAATTATCATTGCCAATTACATTCTGGATATGAGTCAAGAAAAGGAACCCTTTTTCATATGGAACTCTTGAGAAAGTATCGTAAGGGTTTGCTCCTTCATAATTAGGATGAAGTGATGTAAAAGTACTATCATCCCCGTAAAGTTCAAGATCACCGTAAAGAGAAGAATTTCCGAGAGCAGCAGATACCAGGTAAAACTCTTCACCTCTTTGTTTTCTGATAATTGCTCTTTCACTCCATTTTGTGAACCCTTCATTAAGCCAAAAGTTCTCCCAGTTTCTATTAGTAACAAGATTTCCTGTCCAAGAATGGGCTACTTCATGAGTGGCAACATTGACTTGACTCTTATCGCCAACAATAATGGCTGGAGATGCGAAAGTGAGAAGAGGGTTCTCCATTCCTCCGAATGGGAAACTTGGTGGCAAAATCACGATGTTGTAAACACCCCATTCATACTTAGTAAGGAAGCTTTCTGCAACATCGAGAGAATCCTGTAACTCAGATAGCTCGTTTACACATTTTTCCATGAAGATGGGCTCAGTGATGACACCAGTATTTCTTCCTAGCTTTCTGTACTCGAGATCCCCAGCAACAAGAGCTATCAGGTATGATGGGATTGGAACATTCATTTCAAAACTAGTTACTCTAGAGTCTCCTTCAGTCCAATCTTCTAGATTTTGAGCTGACATATACACCTTAATGTCTTTAGGTGAACGAATCAGAGCAGAATAGGTTGACTTTACAGAGGGAGTGTCTTGTAAAGGAGCTAAAGTTCTACAATCAATAGCTTCACAATGAGTGAAGACATATGGAAGAGTATTACCAGCAGTCTGTTCAGGCTCTAACCAGTTAAGAGAAAGAGTCTTGTTTGTGGTTGAATACCCTATCGTGAGATTAAAAACTTCGTTCTTTTGAATAGTTTTAGGAACAGCAATGGATAACTTAGGACCAATGTTTGGATTCGGCTCATCAAACTTGTAATCCAGTGTCTGACCATCTTGGAGTTTAATTTCCATAATTTCAAGATATCTAGCATCCAAATCAATCTGATCAAGTCCCTCAACAAGAGCTTCCATAGTAAGTGTCGCTGTCCCTTTGGCAACTTTTTCGTCAAAATCCAAGGTGAGGTTTAAATGCAAGTGCTTTGTCACGACCTCATGTACATTAGCATTTGTGCTATTATCAATAACACCCTCACTCACACCCGTACCTACGACCTCTGTATACCTACTCGTCTCTGAATAGTACCCTAAAAACGCTACTAAAAAGAGTGCGGCAACAGTCACGGCTACAGTTCCTTTCATCTAAATATTATATAAGCCTCTAAAATCTTGGGGTTTTGGGGTTTTGGGGTTTTGGGGTTTTGGGG